ACACATATGATATTCTTCAAATTATTTTTCTTCATTATCTCATATTTTGCCTCTAACAGATGGATCTTTTTTCTTTACAGAGCTGCATACCTGTTCAATGTAAAGAAAACCAATGCATAAATGAATATATTCTTTTTGTAGGCAGAAGAAGGGAGAAACTACAGCTCAGAAATCAGCCTCTTTAAAGCTTAGGCAGTAAAGCCAATACTGAACTTATTTGCCTGGGTCAGCAATATTAATTTTCCTTTTCTTTAACATGTTGCTCTAACTAATTTTTCTACTACTCTCATAAGATATAAATCTTCATTATGAGATAAATATCTGCATTGCAAGGTAAAACTTACTGAAAATATTGGGTAAGGTAAGATACTAAAACTGTGATTATTTTAGACAAAACAAAAACTGAACCAGGGTATATAAAAGGTCAGCTAAAAAGGTCTTGAAATAAAGAACCCAGAGGTCAGCCCTACCACCATGGAAACCCTCCACCAAATCCCAAGGCAGGGTGGCTGCTTAGGCAAAGTTCAGCTGAGGATGTTCTAGAGCTGTACTACTTTCTCTTACATCAGACAATAAATATTTTTCTGAGACCACCAGCATAGGAGGAAGAGGGGAAAAAGGCTGGGTATTAGAATGCAAGCAGCTATAAGGAGGAAAAGGGATTATTGGAATACAACCACAATTAGAAAAGGAGATTATGGCAGACACTGCATGTGTGTGCTCTACACTGTGTGGGCAGGAGGGGGAATGATGACGACAACGATGACACAGGTTAGTATTAACTTTGTTCTATTTTTATCATCATGGGTAAAATCTTGTATCTGCCCTAATTTCCTATCTCTACTGTGCATTTTTTGGAGGTAAAGCTGCCATATGTCCCTAAAACCTGCACACAACTAAAGCTGAAATGGTGATTCTTTCTCCTTACTCAGGTTATCAAGCTGCATGTGTACTCAATCCAGAGGTATCATACACACCTCAAAAAATCCCTCTCCCAACAAGTCTGGCTTTTCTATCTCAAAACAAGAAGCTTCAGAAAGTTACAATACTCCTGCCCAATACAGAGATGGACCATGCTTGCTTGGGAGTCTGAGTAGAAAGGAAATAAATTATCCTTGGGGATGTTGATCAAGATCTAGTCTATAGAAACTTAGAGGAGTAAAAAACCCTAAATTATTTTTAAAAATCACATAACCTTGATTTATACAATCCTTTAATGAGAGATTATGGGATAAATGTTATTTAGCAGTACTGCCAGACAGAAAGTTTCCTGGGGTGTTGTTAAATATTGCAGCTTATAATTATGATATCTGCTGCTTCTTAGTAGTATGCTGTCCACAGTAAAAACACTGTTAAGCCTCTTAGTAAAGCTGCTCAGTTCAAGTTAAGTCAACTGAAATGCTTGGATGACAAGAAGTGATGAAGACAACAGACATAATTTTTAAAAAAGATCTTTCCAGTTTTCAGTGAAGCATGAGGTGAAGGGAGGTGCTGGTGGCTATTACTTTGTTGCAAACATTGTGAACTTACATGACCAAGCAGCTGATCAGTCTGTGCCATTTGCTCTACAGCATTTGGTAAAATCTCCTCAGAACAACTTGATGACAAGCACTAAGCAAAGAACAACAGATGCACAGAGAACTTGGGACAGCCATAGAGCAGGAGCTACATGTCTGCCTGAGCTCTGCCCCAGGGCTGCTCCCCACCCTGAAGGTCAAAGCAAGTCTCCAAATCAAATGACCTTTCACCTGTCATGAGACATGACCTCTTCTGGGAGGAGAGGATCATAACTCTATTTTTCTGTCCCACACTAGAAACCCCCACACATTCACACACATTCTCTTGCATACACAGAAACATTTCCTGTGGTTTATATCAGATGGAAGCCCCAATTTTGCTTTGAATATACTCAGATTAAAGGGACAGACTCTTGGAATGTCCAGTCTGTGAGACAGAGGAAGGGAAGATATTCATGGCTGTCCCACAGGGAAGTAACTTAGAAATGTCAGAACTTTGCACATGGGCAATTTTCATCAAATTAATATTAGTCACTTATTCTATTGTCCCCTTGTGATTTAGAGGTATTCCTTACCAGCAATTTTTTCAGTGCCTGCATCAATACAATGCAAATATTATGTGCAAAAACAAGCAACTAAAAGGAGGGTAAATTGAAGGCGTGAGGCTACCTAAAATGAGGTGGAGAAGACAGAGACAGAATCTTCCTAGTGTCACACAGCAAAGGATGAGAGGCAAAAACCCCCACTGCAAGACAGAAGATTCCTACTGGACATAAATGAAAAATTTTCCCACTCAGTTAAGCACTGGGAGAGATTACACAGGGAGTCTGTGTTATGTCCATCCTTGGAGATATTCAAACTTGAATTGAAAAGACAAACCTGTAACATTTCAGTTAATAGTATTTGAGCAAGGGGTTGGACCAAAAAACTTCCAAAGGTCCCTTCCATGCTGTACTTTTATATGGTTCAGAATTTATTAATTTTACAATATTCAGCTCCTAGTCTGGATTTTCAGAAAGCAGAAAGAGTGGGAAAGAACAAAGGAAATCTTGCATACCTAAACCAATGGAAAGAAAAATTTAATAGAAAGCTTGATCAATTAAAAATCTGCCTTCAAGAGCTGTAGCTCCGATGGCCATGCATAGCTCTACCAAAAGAGGTGCTTAGGAATCTCCTACAGTGGCAGAAAAGGGCTCCTCCCTTATGATTTTCTGGCACTCAAAAAGGCAAAGACTCAGAGTGAGATGACATGCAGTTCTCCACCCACCCATCTGCCACAACCATGTGCCACTGTAATCGAGCTATTAGTATGCTAAGCTATCTTAAGCAAAAAAAAATAAATATAGAAAAGTATGATCCTAAACCCATGAAATCTCACTAAAAATTGCCATTGCATCACAGTCATGCAGATGTTCTTTTTAGGTCTTAGTCACTCTTCACCTGACCCAGTTACACATTTCTCCTCTTCAGCTCCTCTCGATTCTGATGCCCATTGAAGATTCAGTATCAGCTCCCCTATTAAGAAAACCATCAGCTGCACTTTTGCTGGGGCTATTAGAGCCTTTAATCATCCAACTGCTCCTGACTTATGCATCTGTACTAAGCTGTCAGGTACTGTTTGCTTGCATCCTGCAGTTGTCAAGGTGCTTTCATCTTCCTTCACTAGCTTGGATGCAAACAATGGGACAACTACAATTACTTCCTTCCCTATCTTTACAGGCTGCTCAGACCTAAATGACTGGGCAGCACATCACACAATGCACAATTTATGTCATGAATGAATTACAGTTATGAAAGGAAGTCCAACCTTGCTTTAATGTTATCACATATAGGAATGCTATCAGCATCATAGGCACTAATCTCTATTTTTTCCCCTGTTCTTGGAATAGATCAATAATCTGACCTGCTCTCCTAAGCAGCACTGCCAGTCTCTGAGCTGACTGCACCTTTTTTTAAGACTGACTGCTGTAAGAACAGAAGATTCTTAGCTGTTGCTGGTTTGTAATCATAAAATTACAGAAGCAGAGGAGTAAAAGGGATCTCAAGAAATCACTTAGTCCACCGCATACGCACTGTGTAGAGACCTGGTACTTGCAGATATGGCAGATATATGTCTAACTTGCTCCTAAAAATCTCCCATTGAGGAAGATTCCAGTCCTTCTAAGTAGTCTGTTTCTGTGTTTCTCTAGCCTGATAGAGCATTTTTCCTGCTATCCAACTGTGGTGGTTTGACAGGAAATGTGTTTTTTGGGATGCTGTGTTTTTGGCCAATGGATATTCAGACTTTAATATTGGCATTTAACCTGGCCATTGGGACATGGACACACCTCTGAGAACACGGGGTTAAAAGCAGAGCTCTCCCCTGGGAGGGCCTCTTGGGTTTCCGGCGGGAAAGAGTTCGGGTCTCTCCCATGGCCCAGCTGCTGGCTGGGCAGGGGGAGGGGAAAGCCATGTGGCCGAGAGAGGTAGGCCTGAGCCCCGGGGTGGAAGGGTGGAAGACAGAACCATGTTCCTTGTGATACAGAGACTGCATTCTAGGGGGAGGCAATGGCCTCAGAGCCAAGAGGGTTCAGTGTTGATGCCCCTCGGCCCCAGGGGGTGAAAAAATATGGGGGGGACAGGTGTCCCAAAGGAGAGATTGTGGGGACAGGTGTCCCAAAGGAGAGACTGTGCCTTTTTTGGATCGGGACAGAGCATCCTTAAAAGACAACCCTAGAAGCAGTTCTGGTCCGTGTTCAGTGGTGAGAGCACTGGACATGAAAAGGAAGAAGTCACCATGGCAGATGTACTCCGGGCGGTGCCACGAGTGACACGGAAACACACGAGGCTTCGACTGTGTTTCCAGGGGAAGCCCATGGCACAAGAAGGACTCCTCTCCTCTTGATGAACTGAGGATTGATTGTCTAAAAGGTGCTGCTGGACTGAGAGTTGGTGATTTGAGGAACAAATGTATTGTGTTAGAAATTTGGTGGGGGGAGGAGGAAATGCATTTGTGAAGTTTTCATTTTCCCTGTGTGTGTGTGGTTCATTTTATCTGTAGTTGTAGAGTAGTTAATAAAGTTCTGGTTCTTTTTTCCCTAAGTAGGAGCCTGCTTTGCTTATTCCTGGTCACATCTCACAGCAGAAACCAGGGAGAAGGTATCTTCATGGGGGCACTGGCATTGTGCCAGTGTTAAACCATGACACCAACCTGAATCCTTTTTGCTTCCAACAAAACTGCATTACTTCTGCCTTTCCTTTCAGCAGTATCTGATAATAAATTATCATTATTTTCTATTTCCATCTCTGTCAGACTACTGTCATGATACACCATTTTTTCTCTTTTTTAGGCTGTACAGTGTTAATTGCTTTAACCTTTTGAAATTCTCCACATTTTCTCAACTTGGACTGCCTTCAATTTGCCACTGATATTTGTCTCACATTTTGCCCAAACTGCATACAGAATTCCTTGGAAGTCTTGTTTTAGCTGAGAAAAGATGAGCAGACCATAATAATCTCCACTTTACAGATAATCCCTTTCTGCAGAACCACAGCCTGGTCAGGTATGTCCCATTTCTTCTTCCTATGGATAGCAGTACTTTGCATGAATCTCTCTTCTGTGATTCAAAAAAATTTCTCTGCTATTCACAGCTGTGGATCTGATGCTATTCCCCAATGTGCCTGTAATTAAACTAGGTATCTACTTCAACTTTTAATGTGGACTTTTTTTCATCACTCAAGTTATTACTGAACAGAAACAGACCAAAAGCAGATGCGCACTTGAGATTCTCCCAGCCTAAAAATGAACTAAATCCAGTTTTGTGAAGAAGAGGTAATTTGTTTTATTGTTTTTGTGAAATTTCTGTATTTCCACATTTTCCTCACAAGCATGTCACATGGGACCACATAAAATACTCACAAAAGACACATTATCATGTTAAAAGATTACATTGTACTAATTTGTTCTGGTCCAGTCCAAGTTGACCACTTATGTTACTGGGTTCTGCTTCTTCTACAGTGGTTCTGGAACCATTGTGGGTTTCAAAGTTAAGAAGATTGATCTGTATTTTCCTAGGACATTATTTTTCTTTGCTTTGTAAAGACAAATTCTAAGTATTCCTGTATCTCATTTCTCTAGTAACCTTGTCTTTACCACTCTCCGCATAAGACCCTCTGAACTTGCCTTTAAATGCTTTAGAGAGCATTTTTGTTTCTCCTATTCGAAGGCATTCTGAAATTGCATTCTTACTAGTCTCTTACTGTGCTTCTGTTTTTGTCTGCACCAGCTAATTTGTTATTGTGTTTTTAATGTGTTTAAAGAACTGACAGCTACCCTGGTATTTTCCTGTATTTTTACATTATTTTTTGTACATACAGGTACCCACCAGCTCCTGAAGCCAGCTAAAGCATACTCTCTCTAAGCCCATTATCTTTGCCCTGCTGTCATTTTACCATCCTTTCTTTTCCTAGGTGAGTGAAAGCAACTATTTTGGGGCCTTTTTCACTCAAATTTCCTTCCACCTCTTTTAAAAAGAGATCTCTATGAGAACAGAACAGAACAGAATCTACCTCATACAGCCATTTCCAGAATCACTTTCTTTGCCTTCTCTCTCCAAACAAGAGCTCCATGGGCTTTCCATTTCACAGTTCAGCTGTGACCAGTAATTCTTACTCTCTGCCTACAGTGTGACATATTTTCATAATTATTTACTGCCAAAGAGCACATTCCACTGACAGCACTTAACACCTACCACCCATACCTGAAGGTTCTTGTGAAAACTTACAGGAAAGTAAATCAGTTTCTTCAATGGGCTGAGTGGTTCACTACACAGCTCCTGTCTCTGCAGCACAGTCCTAATTTCATCTCCAATGGAAGAAAGATGTGCACTGTAGTTCCTGTTTTTCCTAACAACTGGACAAGACACCCCATAACCCAAAGAAACCACAGCAATGGTTTCTCTATGCTTTTAGTTGATTGCTTTCAATTTAGCGTGAACAAATTGTATTGTTGAAACAGGCATCTTTCCTGAATTATTTTGCTCCAGTGATCAAAAACCATGGGGTATTTATGATTTTGCTATCTTATATCATCCAGCACCTCCAGGGCTGTGTTAGTCACAGCCTCACGGGTGTTTATTTGTTGCTTTTGATTTCTTTCCTTTCAGTTTGGTTTTTAACTTCTCATTTTCTTTGCCATGCACATGCACTGACAAGACAGCCAGCCAGAGGAAAAGTTTGTCTGTTTCATCTTATGCAATGCTGGCTTTCACAAATTCATATTTCTCAGTCAGATCACAGATATCTTCACATCATGGCCGAAATGGAAAAGTCGCAATTATGCAATTATTGCCTAAATTTTTTCTTTCAAAATCAGCATAATTGAATGAAGCCAAACAGACTTTACATAAACAAGAAAAAGAAAACCCTAATCCTGAAAAGAAGGATTTTTCTGTTCTAAAACATTTGTAATATCGTGAAAAAAGGGCAAGAAGGTGATAGTGCTATTACAAAGGTTTAATGGACAGAGCCTCACTCAATTCCCCTTCTAGTTCATCCCAACACAAACTTTACATTACACCATCCCATATTTCACAATCTTTATGTTATATTTACATCCCCATCAAGTTGCTAATGAAGAAATCAATGTATCACCTGTCCACATCTTCTCAAAAGATTATACAGCTGAAGTGGTACCAAGCAATTTTTGTAAAAAAAGTTGGAAAGCAACTGGGAGTGAAATATATTTAAAACAGAAATTGTGAACGAGCTTCAACTATAGCTTCATGGCCTGGCAACACCATAGCACAGCTGTAATTTTTTAATAATCAAATAAATGGAAGGGTCATTTTGCAAAATAAGAGGTAACCTAACGACAAAACTGAGAGGCATTGGTCAGTAAAAAGCTAGGACTTTCTGAGCAAATACAAGAGGCATCTTATGAAGAAAGAAGATTTTGATAAAGCAAACAGTGCAATTCGTCATTTTATCATACACAAGGAACGGTGGTAAAAATAACATTTAGAGGGCAAAACCATTCCCTTGGCTAGGGAGAAAAAACAGGGACTAACTTTGGGATCCATAATGACAGAACTATTTCTACTGTGCTGCAAACCTTAGCTGAGGCTCTAGAACACACACAGAAACCCCTAAGCAAATAGGGCAGCCTGTGGTAACAGCAGGCACTTCACAGCTTTTATTTCCTGCTTGGAGCTGTGTTACTTTTGTTCACTCTTCACCAGTTAAGAAACATTTCAAAGCACCTTCCTTTTCTGTAGCATCATTTCTATATTATTCAGGGTTTGGACAGTAGTGCCAAGTACTGCCATGTCCACACTACTCATAATCCATTTTATGTGTGTGTTTCTACACAAAGACAGTAATTTAGCCTAATTCACTGTAATTTAAATTACTGCAATAGAAATCTTCCCTATTGAGTTTGAAATCATGGCTGGGGAAGCACAGATCCAAACAATGGGGCTTGTCTAAAGGCTGTTTTTACAAAAGGAGTGAAGCTGAATCCCACTCATCCCTAAGGCAATTTGTCTCCTCATGGGAGTGTGTAGGACACATCACATGAAAGGAGCTGGGGGACTCTGTCACAGGACCCTACTAAGCAAGCATATTCTAAAGGACTTTCTTAAAGGTACTTTTTATAAGAGCAAAATGGTGCTAAACTCTGAAGCCATATTTTTCTTCTCCTTTTTTTCTTATTTTAATGAACTACTGGAATGATTAACTTGGAGAGACTAGATTGTGTTTTGTAAACCAATCTCTCCCTGCTCACTGTGTATGTGTAAGGCAGTTCCCTGCTTCCAGGCTTTGATTTCAGCAAAGTCAGAAGCAACAAATGCTGGCATTATTTCTGTACCCCAGGAAACCTTTCATCACCACTGACACCAATCTTGTTTTTGAACCTCCCAGTTCCTTGTTCCTTGCTATAGTACTTTTCTCCTTTAGGTCAGCAGCTTTCATCCACCTCTGCCTGACAAAGAATGGGGAGGAGACCCCTCTCCCTACCACTGGACTGCCTTCAGTCACTCCCTTTATAAAGAGACCCAGCATGTAAACTGAGCACAAAAGCAGCAAAATTGTTCTACCACAGTTGAATTTAATCACCTAACCATCAGGTGTCAGAAAGCAAACCCTCAAAGAAGGAAAAAACAACTCTCAGTCCAAGCATTCTTTCAATGAATGATGCTCCATTACAGGTAAAGGAGGTCTGGTTATCTTGGATCTAATCAAAAACTACACAAATGTGGGTTTTGCTGTTTTGTTTCATTTTGTTTTTAAATTGCTTTACATCTTTGGTAAAAATTGTGTTCAAAAATAAAATGCACAGAAAGCAAAGTGATGTTAAATATGAGAATGTGAGAGGCATATTATTCCTATGCTACTGAATTAAATAGTGGTATTGTAAAACTATTTTCTGGGCTTCTGCTTTACTGCATGGTGGCAAAAATTGTTAGGGGTTACTGAGAACCAGGTTTTTGCATGTGAGTATTCTCCAGCAAGGTGGGCCATAACCAGTCATTTAAAAGATGCAAACAGTGCAAAGCACAATGTATTATGAAATATTAATTATGCAGAGAAATTATGAGTATTTAGTAAAAGTTTGAAGCATTAAATGATAGTTGTAGCCACACATCTTTGGTCTTGAAAAAATAGGATATGATTCAAGAATGAAAAATTGCTATAATTGGGAAGCAAAGAGGGACACATTAGAAATGGAGAAATCAAGCCCAATTCAGGCATGTAATGGATCAAAACATTCAGTGTTGGTTTGAATAGAGCAATTATAACCAAAGACATTTCTGAAAAATGACCTGTGTTAAGAAATATGAAAAAGCAATTTTCCATTGTTTAATTTTTCTGCTATATATGCCATTTGAAAATAGCTAATAATATTTAGGCAAATGACAGCTTCCTGCCCTTTACTCAGCCTTTTATGAAATCTAAATGAACTTGTTATTTTCCACTATACTAATCGCCTGAAACATTACTGTTTTATAGCAAATATCATATACCAGGAACAGCTGTATATCTGTTTTCCTATTATAACTCTTATTATATATTCCATTAAACAGCACAACTTCCGTTCAAAGCTTTTTTGAAATCCATAGCTTGCCTTTATTCCTATAGATGGAAACACATCTGCATATAGTAATTCCTATATCTAACAAAAGCATACTGTAAACATGCCAAAGGAAAATCCTAAATAAATTATTAAATTGTACATACCACAGGGTTCTCTATTTCATGCAAAAGAGAAGTAACTGATACAGTGATGTCTCTAGTTCATCTCAGGTAGGCTCATCTTTTTAGAAGCTAAAGAGAGACTGTTGAGTCTTGCTTCAAGGCAAATTCCTGTGGGGCTGACTCCAGCCACTGTTCATTACTCAGAGAGGCCTCACCAAAAGAATCAAGTGACTGAATTTGGATTTTCCCACTCTTGCTAAACTGTCACAGCAATTAAAACAACTCCAGTCTATACTTCTACCCTCTCCTTATAGAATCACAGAATATTCTGAGTTGGAAGTGACCCACAAGGATCATTGAGATCAGCTCCTGGCCCTGCACAGGACAACCCCAAGACTCACACCATGTGTCTGAGAGTGTTGCCCAAATGCTTCTTGATTCATTATAATTGTATGATTTTTAAAAAAAATCTTCAGTCAAATGGAATTCAACAATTGAAGTCCCAACACCTTCAATAGCATGAATTTGCTCACTGAACTTTTGCATGATCAGCGACTTCCCAGGCTCTGTGTTTTCCTTGCAGGCTGCAGAACCCAAGGCTGAAAATATTTTTAGCCAAATATCTTTGCACATCTAGAAAAAGAATTAGTTGCTTTACAACACTGACAGCCACTCCTCTCTTCCTCTTCCACGCACAGAGAGGTGCCATGAAGAGTGACAACTCCATGAGCTGAGAAAGGAAAAAGATCAAGCTAATGGGGAGAAAACTCTTTACTGCTGGCTTTACACATCAGGACTCTTGCACAGCACTGAAAGTCTCAGCAAGAGACAAGGCAGAACTACTCATCCTGCCCTGAGCTTTGCTTTTTTTGTGTCCAGCCTGCTTGGGCATAAACAGCCCCCTGAAGAGGTGGCCTGTGCCTGGAAAAGGAGCAGGGGATGGATCTGTTTCTGTCAGAGTGTGCTGCCATCCCCACATGGCAAACACAACAAGACCCTTCACAAGCCACTATTCCATACATGTTACTCCTTTTAAACTGAGATATGGGAATGAGGTGAAAGCATCACAAGCTTGGTCAAGAAGATTATCTAGATTCAAAAAAAAAATTTTGATCTATTTACCTAGCACACAGAACTTATCAGTCTCCCTATATAGCTTAGAAAATCAACATTGAATGCATAAATATATTGCCATCTACTGCAAAAACTGAGGTGATTGTAAAAGTCAAAGAATCTGTCATGGGTGGTTTGGGTTTGTTTTAATTCATTGGGTTTTTCTGGGGAGGGTGAGGAGTAGGGTGGTATTTAGTTTGTTGCAGTTTCTTGTCTTTATATTTTACATCACACAGACTTCCAGGTCTCAAACAGCTGAAGCCTCATTCAAGTTAAGGTATGCAACAGCAGTGAAATATTTTAGCCTTTTTTTAAAAATAAAAATACCAATAACTGGATCTTTGGACAGTTGTTGCACCTCTTTTGTAGAAACCACACTGCAACCTAAAATTACACTATCAACATCTCAACTCTGAAGTAGGGAAAAAAAAATCTCCCATCCTCTCAGCAACTGGACTTGCTGAGACTGTTATTTCTTCACATGAACATACTCCACAGATAGGACATTATATAACAAAGCATAGGATTTTTGTTGTTGCTGTTTAAATAAGGAGGATGCACTTCTGTGAGCTTCCCCCTCTATTAGAATTACATGCTATGTTTAAAAGCAACATGAACAGAAGCTCTTTCACATATAGTAGGTCAGTGAAGGATCCAAGACTATTAACCACACAAAATTTGGGCATTAATGATACTCATTTTTCTCTGACACACATGTAAATTGTGCTGTCACTGTTCATTTATGAATCCGTGAGGAAAGTTTATAAATATTCCATGAACTCTAAGGCTCTCTTTGTGACCACAGTTAGATTTGCAAACATGTGGAAACATCTGATTTGCTAAATTTCTCTCTCCAAAGAGCAGATACAACAGTGCAACAGCACAGCAGACTCACTCCAGGCCAGATGCAGCCGTGTACATGTATTTTACAGCATTCTTAATTTTGTGTAGGAGTTCTCGCAACACTTTCCTCTCTTGGCTTTAATGAGTACTTATCCCTAACCAGCCATCTCCAACCATGCCCTTATTCCTTTGAACCCTCACACTGGCTGCCTTTTCTCAATCACATCAAACATGAGCTGCATGCTTTACCTGTCAAAGCCCTTAGCAGTGCTAATACCATTTCTTATGGAAAAAGAGATCTACTTCTATCCTTGATCAGCTCACAGTGGTATCCATTACTGGGTATCTGTAGGCACAACGTGTTTTCCATTCTGCTTTGAAGGAGCAGCTAAACCAGAAAACCATAGCACCATCCCTCCTTCAAATCCTCCTTAGTAACTCCCAGTACTACAGGGCTGACAAATGCTTACTGCTGATCGAGATCACAACTAACTTCTGTTATCCATCCAGTTCTTTCCCAAAGCTATTTGTTCTATTGGCTTAAACCTTTGAAGAAAGCTCTCTGCTACAAAGAGTCACTTTTCTGACAGGAAAGGAGTGAAAAACTTATACTCTACATACACATTGTGCTGGGATCTCCATCTCCAGGCAAACTCAAGAATGGTAGTTCTTCCAAAGGATCGCCATAAAACCAGAAAGGAGTTCTATCAGGGATCTCAGCTTGTCACATTCTCATTTCATTTAAACACCTCACCAAATGCAACTGCCCTTGTGGTTGGAGACTGGGCAGGAGCTGCACTGGTGGGCTACTCTGTGCACATGACACAGTAACTGTTGGCCGGTTCTCTTTCAGCTCCTCCCTGTTACAAGAATCTTGGCGAGCTTTACTGGAAGTAAACTAATAGTAATGGACCAACCCAACCCTGGGATAGCAGCCCGGCAGTTTGATATTATTCCTTTTTTTCCATATGGTGTTACATTTACAATTGTTACAATGTCGTACTCTGATTAACCATGGGTTTTCACTTTGTCTATGTTTGCAGAAAGAGTGGCAGATGAAATGATGCACTAGTTTTCTACTTTAATTCAAACTCCTGAGAGCTTCTGCTTACTGGGTTTAAGATTTTTTCCTTCTTTCTGAAAAAACCCCATCTCAAGTAAAAGCATCCCAAGGACTTAAAAAGAGAATTTAGACATTTGTACATTTCACTTTTTTCCCTCCCAATTTTAACTTTAAATGATCAAAGGTAAGTAAAAAATCTGAATCACTTCAGGCAAATTATAAATCAGTAAACATAGCTGCCAACTGAATCAAAATAATCCATCATGACAATATTTCTGTAATTCTTTTGAGTTATCAGTGTCTGGTTAGCAGGTTCAATTAACATAAAGAAAAACATTTAGACAATGAAACTCAAAGTATACCACTTAGCAAAAAATCCAGAATTACACAAATTATCAATTTATTCAATGATTTCTCCCATGTTAAAAGGCTGAGGGAAAGGGAAAGGGTAAAATGACACCTTTTCAGAGAAGCTGATTCCAAGCACAAGCTACTCTACACTCCCACATGATTTCTCTGGTGAAGATTACACTAGATCAACAAAAGGTTCCACATAGAATAAAGATAAATCAGGTTCACTCAGTCTGGACTGTGCATCTGTACAAAACTACTCTGCAGGTACTTTTTAACAACAGAGTTGTCTAGAAAGTAGAGCCTGCAAGCCACTAGAAACTGTAACATATGAGAAACATATGAAGAAACTTTCTCATATGAGCAGGAGTCTAAATTTCTTCACACTGAAATTCAATTAGATTTAGCAACATTTTTGCAATGTTGAAAATATTATATTCCACTATG